CTGTGTTGCTAGGCGATCTCTGGCTGCCTCTCCGTGACCCCTCAGGCATGATGTGATGATGTCACAGGAAGTAGAAACCTGGAAAAAAAGGTGAGAAAATCCTGTTAGCTTTAACACAGACTCTCTGTCTCAACCTCTTGATGGAGGTTCTTTTTCCTCAGCAGTTTCTCTTCCATTCTTTCTTTACACAAAGGGTTTCTACATAAAAAGTGGCAAACAGAGACTTAACACAAAGTGGCAGGAGGAAAAAAACGTTTAAACACGTCGTCCTTTACCAGCCGAGAGGAGGAGGAAGAGGAAGAGGAGGGCGAGGGGAAAAAGGAGGTCTGTATAAAAGAATCCTTTCCTGTCTTGTGTGAAAAGAGTGAGGACATATGTAATGTTTGGCTAAAAGACAAGAATGTGGTCTCTTCTCTAAACTGTTGTGTGTGCGTGTGTGTGTGTGTTTGTGCGTGTGTGTGTACAGGAGGATAACGGACTCCTACAAAGTCATTGATACAGTCACACAGATTGACCCAATTAGTCCATTGTGCGTCCAAACGAGTGTTTCTGCAGCTGTCTGCAGGACGACTGAGAGATGTGGGGAGGGTGGGCGCGGGGTGAGGGGGTGTAGGGGGGAGTCGGGGGAGTCAGTAATAGAAGCCAGATGCTGAGCAGGTTCGAAGGTTGCAGGTTGAAATCCCTTTACTATGTGTTGAAACACCTGCTGAGCTCTGCAGAGCTGTTCACAAATATAATGTGCATTCCTTCTCCAGTTGTTAGGTCAGATGTGATCGAGTTTGTGAGGAAATACTTCTAACATGGGAAAACATTAAGTCATCATCACTCCCAAATTTGACCAATAAAAATAATCCTTTCCATGTTTCTTACATACTTAATCCAGCCAGAGTAAACACAATTTTAATCTCAGTTATTACAATTCCCACGACGCTCTCAAAGGTCCATCCACTGAGGCAGAAGTGCGTCACTACACTAGAGACTCCAGGGCTGCAACTTCTGATTATTTTCTTTCTCAAGGAATTGCTTAGTGTGTCGATAAAATGACAGAAAAATGGGAAAATGTTGATCAGTGTTTCCGAAAGCTGAAAGAAGATGTCCTCCAAAGTCTTGCTTGTCTTGTCTGCACCCAAAGACATTCAGTTTGCTGTCATAGCTAATTCCAGGTTGTTACATTCACATGTAGCACACTGGAATTAGCTTCAGTAATTATCCAAAATAGTTGGCAAATTATTGAACTATTTTCTCTCATAACTGATCCATTAATTGTTGCAGCTCCAGTGAACTTATTAACTCCAAATGATCAAGGCCTCCAGTTTCCTTTCTTTCCATTTGATTTCACTGTGAACAGAAAAAGACAATGTTTCTGCTTCCCAAAAAGGGAAGCTATGGAAAAGTCCTGATTATGGGGAAGTATGAAGTGAAGCTATGGTTGAGGAAGGAATTTGCAGAAGAGGATATTTGCCTATTTTTAACCTTGTCTCCTTCCATATGAGCTCGGTATATAAAATGTTTGAAGTTTTTGCTGAAAATCTGTGGTTCTTCTTGCACCAGCAGTATAACATGATACAGTTGGTATCCTGAAAGATCTAGCGACTATTTAAGCAAGTATTTCTTTTCGTTGTCTTCACACATCAACTATGAAACTGCACCATTAGGGGGGCTTCTTGAGCTCAGGGGTAAGAACAGGCATCCCATGTTTGGAGGCTGCTGTCCAAGGTTGGAGTCTGACCCCCAACATTTTCTGCATGTCTTGACCCACTTCCCAATATTTCTTATCTCTCCCTACAATCCTACTTATTAATGCATAAAATGGCACAAAATATATCCTGAAAAAATGCACTGTAATGTACATGTTCACTGGATCTTATAGACGTTGATGATGTCTGCATAGTTTTGGATGACTGGATCATCTCTCCGATGTTTTTAAAGCCAGAGGGTTCAGCTGCTTTCTGTGCCTTTATTTATAGATAGGACAGTGGGTAGAGTCAGAGATCGGGGAGAGGGAGAGTGAGAGTGAGGAGTGACATGCAGGAAAGGAGCCACAGGTCGGATTCAAACCGATGGTTGCCCGCTTGGAGGACCACAGCCTCCGTATATGGGGGAGCGCACTAACTAAAAGGCTACCAGCGCCCTGCAATTTACTACACTTACTAACAATACAGCCACATACACATTCACATAAACCATGGTGCATATATCCTTTAGGGTAAAGATACATGAGTTTCTAAAATGGCAAACACAGGCTCTGGTCTCAAACATTGAAGTTAGACTCACTGTTTATACACTACTGGCTGCATTTTGAACAAAACAGCGCTGGTTACATCGTCCTGTGAATCTGGCCTAATAAGGATCCAGTAACTCAGATGGACCAGGAGGTCATGTCTGTCCATGGTGTACTGAATAGTGCATTAGACTTTGAGGGAAAAGTTACTCAAAGGATGTGGGTTCAAGTCCTGCCAGAGTCACACTTTAGGCTGGCAGGAGTCTACATTAACGCTCATTAAAGATCCTGCATCGGAAAAGAAAATACCCGATATCTACAAAACCTGCCACACACCAAAGATCTATTCTAACATGCTCCTTCACCTTAAAATACTTGAGTCACAGACTTTAGGCTTTCTTTCAGGGTCACTATTTACAAGACTACAACTTCCTGATGAGATTAGTTCCCATCTTCTTCAGGTATGGCAATTTACAATGAGAAAAACCAACACTGGATCAGAAAACAGAAACTTGTGTGTGCCTTTGATTTTTGTCAGTGGACAAAGAAAATGAACCAATAACAAAGAATTTAACAGCAAAACGATGTGTTTTCCTTCTTCTTTATTGTTTTTTGACAAAATGTTGGGACTTACTGTACATTGAAGAAGTTAGGAGAAGGAAATGAGAGTATGGCCATCTAAGTGTGTGTAGTGGCAAAAAGCCCTTAAAAAAGAATAATCTGTGTATATTTGTGTGTATGTGTGTCATCGTCTCCGACAAAGGAATTCCCAGGTGCATTGGCTTCAAACACTCTTCGTCACACACACACACTAGAACACACCCGAGTGACAGAGGATGGAAGCAAACCAACACTCGCACTCGCATCCCAACAGCAGGGTCATTGTGAGTGTGTATGTGTGTGTGTTATTGAACCCCTTATCTTGTTACCGTGGTAACCAAAGAGGCTGAACACAGACATCAGCTGTCATTGAATTAAAACAGACAGAACTGTCAAACAGTCCAGTTTCTTCACTCTCAGCATTTTGATGAGATTCACTTCCACAGAGCTCGGCAGTTTCAGGTCAAAGCGCGACGTCACAGTAGAGACCCGTATAAATGGTCAAGACAGATTTCTAAGTGTTTTTAACAGCCCATCATAGTTAACTCAAAAACATTTAACTGAGACAAATGCAACCATTGACTTGCACATGTTGTAATTAGCAATGAGCATCCAATGAGCTGTGGTGGGACTTGAACCAAGAACCTTTAAACACCTAGAGGCAACAAGTCCAACTCACAATCCATTGTGCCACAGAGCCTACTCCCTGATTTTCATCAATAATAATTTTGGAAAAATTAGACATTTTTAAATAGATATAAACAGACAGTATTGACTTCTACAAAAAACATTTCAAGGTAGGAAGAATTATGAGAACCCAAGACAGCTGAAAACCCCTTAGATGACTGATGATTTGGGGTATTTGGAAAATGTAAATTTGGCAGTTCAGTAGAGTACAACCACAGGTTTAATGTGCCCAGTATTAACCAACTGTGGTGGGACTCAAGCCCACAACTTTTAAATATTTCCCCTTTGGTGATGCTTAAAGTCTGATGCGCTCTCTATTGCACCACAGACCCTCTATCTTTCAGGGGTTAGGATAGGTGAGGACCTGGTTGTTAGGTGTTTGGGTCAATGTACTTCACACATTACGTAAAAGTGGATTTAGTAGTAAACAGATGTAATGTGTCTGAACTACAAATAGTTGACTCTGCTGGACTTGAACCCACAACCTTTGAATACCTTCTCTTGGCATGTCTAGAAGTCCAGTGCGCTGTCCATTGCGCCACAGAGCCTCGTTCTCAGATTAGCTTCCCAAAACATCTTTCCAAAATAAAAACAAGGCCTCTATCGAGACCCTATTGTGAAAATGTTAGATTTTAGTGTTTGAATGAACTTTGGTGAAGTTCATGTCTTAGAATACAGAACAGTCTCTGGACAATGCGGGGAAGAATCTCCAGGTTCATGGCCCTTTGTTAAAAAAAACAGATGCAAAAAGGGAAGGTATTCAACAGAGCTCCAGTGGGCCTGATAATTCAGGGGGGACAGTGGAAGAGGGAGACCACAGATTAAATGTGTCCAAATTACAAATCATGGACCCTTGACGGACTCTTAACATACGTCCTTTGATACCTGCCCCATACCATACCTCAAATTAATCTGAAAGCATTAAAGGTCAACTCAATTGGGACTTGAACCCACAACCTTTGAATCACTTCTGCAAACCCAATCTAGAAGTCCAAAGCTCTGTCCACTGTGCCACAGACCACATAAGAAGAAGGATTTTCTGCCTGATTGGTTTAGGGGATTGGAGGGTGTAAACTGGGAGTTCGGTGTAACCACATATCAAGTAACATTAGATTACACTGATTTAAATCGCCCAGATACAACAAATCAAATTGTTGAATCAAAGTCACAACCTTTGATAATAAATTGCTGACATGTATGTGTGGCTATTCAAACTACGGAGCTGGAAGAGAAAATCTTAAGAGATAGAGACAAATCTCCTTCCTCCAGAACTACTGGAGACCCTGCAGGATAATTACAGTCTGCTGCCTTCCAACAGGATGGATGACGTCATGCTCACTACTTACTCCGTTAAGTGATTGTGTTTAATGAAAAACAAACAAAGGAAATGTCAAAACAAAGAAAATAGAGATTGATGACAATACTTATGGAAATATGGATTACCGGATCTCAAAAATAATTACAATTATTAGTTATACTCGTGGAGTAATGAGCCCACATTTCTGCAGGCCACAAATATATCACAAGGAGAACGCAGACCTAGAAAAACACAGTGTGTGTGTGTGTGTGT